AAACCCCGTCTCTACTAAAAATACAAAAAATTAGCTGGGCATGGTGGCGTGTGCCTGTAATCCCAGCTACTCAGGAGGCTGAGGCAGGAGAATTGCCTGAACCCAGGAGGCGGAGGTTGCGGTGAGCCGAGATCGTGCCATTGCACTCCAGCCTGGGTAACAAGAGCGAAACTCCGTCTCAAAAAAAAAAAAAAAAAAAAAATTTAATGCGAAAAACAAAATGTTGACACTTTCAGAAGATAAAATTATATTAACTTCAGGGTATGGAATAATGTCTTAAGACATAAGCCAAATCACAGAAAGAAGATCTTTTCAGCACATAATAAAGGCATAGAATACAGAATATATATATATATATATATTTTAAAATCTTTATTTATCTATCTGCATTTATTAATTTATTTTGAAGCAAAGTCTTGCTCTATTGCCCAGGCCAGAGTGCAATTGCCTGATCTTGGCTCACTGCAGCCTTGACCTCCCATGCTCAAATGGTCCTCACACCTCAGTCTCTCAAGTAACTGGGATTACAGGCATAAGCCATTGCACCTGGCCTCAGAATATATCTAGAACTTTTGTAAATCAATAAGAAAAAAATCAACGAATGACTAGAATAGCAACTTTAGAGAAGAAAAAATTCCAAATGTTCAATAAATGCAGAGGGAAAGGGAATGCTCAATCTTATTAGCAATCAGAAAAATTTAAATGAGGGCCATAGTGAGGTAACATTATTACCCATTAGGATGGCAAAATTAAGAAATCTGAAAATACTAAGCATTAGTGAGGATATGAATCACTAGGAACGTTTTACATGCCACTATTGGAAGTATAAGTGGAAGTGGAAGTTGGCAAAACAATTTTGAACATCAATTTCACTTTATCTTATAAAACTCGAAAATTTGGGCTCTCTGCTCCTCCTGTTTGACAGACAGCCGCATCTTGTCTCCCATCACCAGCCACATCCCTGAGACACCGTGAGGAAAGTGAAGGTCAAAGTCAACAGATTTGGTTGTATTGGGCGCCTGGTCACGAGGGCTGGTAAAGTGGATATTATCACCATCAATGATCCCTTCATTGATCTCAACTACATGGTCTACATGTTCCAGTATGATTCCACCCATGGCAAATTCCATGGCACCGTCAAGGCTGATAACGGGAAGCTTGTCATCAATGGAAATCCCATCACCATCTTCCAGGAGCGAGGTCCCTCCGAAATCAAGTGGGGAGATGCTGGCGCTGAGTACATGGTGGAGTCCACTGGCGTCTTCACTACCATGGAGAAGGCTGGGGCTCACTTGCAGCAGGGAGCCAAAAGGGTCATCATATCTGCCCCCTCTGCTAATGCCCCCATGTTCGTGATGGGCATGAACCATGAGAAGTATGACAACAGCCTTAAGATTGTCAGCAATGCCTCCTGCACCACCAACTGCTTAGTGCCCCTGGCCAAGGTCATCCATGACAACTTTGGTATCGTGGAAGGACTCATGACCACCATCCATGCCATCACTGCCACCCAGAAAACCGTGGATGGCCCCTCCGGGAAACTGTGGTGTGATGGCCATGGGGCTCTCCAGAACATCATCCCTGCCTGTACTGGCGCTGCCAAGGCCATGGGCAAGGTCATCCCTGAGCTGAACGGGAAGCTCGCATGGCTTTCCGTGTCCCCACTGCCAACGTGTCAGTGGTGGACCTGACTTGCCATCTGGAAAAACCTGCCAAATATGATGACATCAAGAAGGTAGTGAAGCAGACGTGGGAGGGCCCCCTCAAGGGCATCCTGGGCTACACTGAGCACCAGGTGGTGTCCTCTTTGACTTCAACAGCGACACCCATTCTTCCACCTTCAATGCTGGGGCTGGCATTGCCCTCAACGACCACTTAGTCAAGCTCATTTCCTGGCATGACAATGAATTTGGCTATCGCAACAGGGTGGTGGACCTCATGTCCAACATGGCCTCCAAGGAGTAAGACCCCTGGACCACCAGCCCCAGCGAGAGCACGAGAGGAAGAGAGGCCCTCACTGCTGGGAAGTCCCTGCCACACTGAGTCCCCCACCACACTGAATTGCCCCTCCTCACAGTTTCCATGCAGACCCCTTGAAGAGGGAGGGGCCTAGGGAGCCCCACCTTGTCGTGCACCATCAATAAAGTCCCCTGTGCTCAGCCAAAAAAAAAAAAGAAAAAGAAAAAACTCAAAACTTTGAAAATCTAAGACAGAGGATTTCTACTCCTAGGTACATATATGCGTAGCTAGGGCCTGTGAAAAATGTACATACAGGCTGGGTATGTGGTGTCTCACACCTGTAATCCCAGCACTTTGAGGGGCTGAGGAGGGAGGATCACTTGAGCACAGGAGTCCAAGGCCAGCCTGGGCAACATAGTGAGATCCCATAATCTTCAAAATTTTTAAAAATTAGTCAAGCTCAGTGGTGTACGCCTATAGTCTGGCTACTATGGAGGTTGGGAGGATTGCTAGAGCCCAGGAATTAGAGGCTGCAGTGAGCTATGATTGTGCCACTGCATTCCAGCCTGGGTGACACAGCAAGACCCTGACTCAAAAAAAAAAAGTAAATACATAATGTACATGTAAAAAAATGACTCATATATACATTTCCAGCAGCATTTTTCCAAATAAAATATTAATGAATAATTTACCTACAACAAAATACACAAATTTTAAGTGTACAGTTCAATGAGTGCTACCAACTCCACAATCAAAGTTTTTTTGCTTTGTTTTGCTTTTTGAAATGCAGTCTTTTTTTTTTTTTTTTTTTTTTTTTTTTTGAGATGGAGTTTCACTCTTGTTACCCAGGCTGGAGTGCAATGGTGCAATCTCAGCTCACCGCAACCTCCGCCTCCCGGGTTCAGGCAATTCTCCTGCCTCAACCTCCTGAGTAGCTGGGATTACAGGCACGCGCCACCATGCCCAGCTAATGTTTTGTATTTTTAGTAGAGACGGGGTTTCACCATGTTGACCAGGATGGTCTCGATCTCTTGACCTTGTGATCCACCCACCTCGGCCTCCCAAAGTGCTGGGATTACAAGCTTGAGCCACCGCACCCGGCTTGAAATGCAGTCTTGCTCTGACACCCAGGCTGGAGTTCAGTGGTGTAATCTCGACTCACTACAACCTCCCCTGTAGCTGGGACTGCAGGGGCACATCACCACACCCAGCTAATTTTTGTATTTTTAGTAGAGACAGGTTTCACCATGTTGCCCAGGCTGGTCTCAAACTCCTTACCCCAGATGATTTACCACTTTGGCCTCCCAAAGTGCTGGGATTACAGGCATTAGCCAGCATGCTCAGCCCTTATTGTCTTTTCTTTTTTTTTTAATTTTATTTTTTTGAGACTGAGTTTCGCTCTCGTTACCCAGGCTGGAGTGCAATGGCGCGATCTCGGCTCACCGCAACCTCCACCTCCTGGGTTCAGGCAATTCTCCTGCCTCAGCCTCCTGAGTAGCTGGGATTACAGGCACGCACCACCATGCCCAGCTAATTTTCTGTATTTTTAGTAGAGACGGAGTTTCACCATGTTGACCAGGATGGTCTCGATCTCTTGACCTTGTGATCCACCCGTCTCGGCCTCCCAAAGTGCTGGGATTACAGGCTTGAGCCACCGCGCCCGGCCCTTATTGTCTTTTCAATTTTGGCTATTTCATTGTCATTTGGATTTGCATTTCCCTAATCTCCCTAATGACTAATAATGTTGAGCATCCTTTATGGGCTTATTGGACATCTGCATTTTTTTGGAAAAATGTCTAGTCTATTCAGATAGATACTATGCTCTTTTTTTTTTTTTTTTTTTTCTGTAGTAGAGAGTCTCACTTTGTCATGCAGGCTGAAGTGCAGTGGCTTAATCTCAGTTCACTGAAACCTCCACTTTCCAGGAGGCAGGAGGCAGCTCAAATGATTCTTTTACCTCAGCCTCCCAAGTACCTGGCTAACTGCAGGCGCACGGCACCACGCTGAGCTAATTTTAGCAATCTTTTGTAGAGATTGGGGTCTCACTATATTGCTCAGACTGGTCTTGAACTCCTGGGCTCAAGCAATCCATCTGTCTTAGCCTCCTAAAGTGCTGGGATTATAAGCATGTGCCCCCGCATCTGGCACTTTGCTCTTGTTTTAAATTGAATTGTTTGTTTTTACTGTGGAGTTGCAAGAATTTTTTAATTATTCTGGATACAAGTCCCATACCTGACATATGACTAGCAAATATCTTCTCCAATTCCATGTGTTATCTTTTTTTATTTTTTTATTTATTTTTTATTTTATTTTATTTATTTATTTATTTATTATTTTTTTTTGAGACGGAGTTTCGCTCTTGTTACCCAGGCTGGAGTGCAATGGCGCGATCTCGGCTCACCGCAACCTCTGCCTCCCGGGTTCAAGCAATTCTCCTGCCTCAGCCTCCTGAGTAGCTGGGATTACAGGCACGTACCAACATGCCCAGCTAATTTTTTGTATTTTTAGTAGAGACGGGGTTTCACCATGTTGACCAGGATGGTCTCGATCTCTTGACCTCGTGATCCACCCGCCTTGGCCTCCCAAAGTGCTGGGATTACAGGCTTGAGCCACCGCGCCCGGCATTTTTTTTTTTTTATTTTTTTGAGACGGAGTTTCGCTCTTGTTACCCAGGCTGGAGTGCAATGGCTCGATCTCGGCTCACGGCAACCTCTGCCTCCTGGGTTCAGGCAATTCTCCTGCCTCAGCCTCCTGAGTAGCTGGGATTACAGACACACGCCACCATGCCCAGCTAATTTTTTGTATTTTTTAGTAGAGATGGGGTTTCACCATGTTGACCAGGATGGTCTCGATCTCTTGACCTCGTGATCCACCCGCCTCAGCCTCCCAAAGTGCTGGGATTACAGGCTTGAGCCACCGCGCCCGGCTGTGTTATCTTTATTGTATTGATGATGTCCTTTGAAGTACAAAAGCTTTTCGTTTTTTTTCCTAAGTCGACACTCACCAAGGAGAAAGCCGTGTTCAGTTCAAGCACCAAGACCATGAAGCCGAATAATGAGAAGCCAGACGAGTTCGAGTCCGGCATCTCCCAGGCTCTTCTGGAGCTGGAGATGAACTCGGACCTCAAGGCTCAGCTCAGGGAGCTGAATATTACGGCAGCCAAGGAAATTGAAGTTGGTGGTGGCCGGAAAGCTATCATAATCTTTGTTCCTGTTCCTCAACTAAAATCTTTCCAGAAAATCCAAGTCCGGCTAGTATGCGAATTGGAGAAAAGGTTCAGTGGGAAGCATGTTGTCTTTGTCGCTCAGAGAATTCTGCCTAAGCTAACTTGAAAAAGTCTTACAAAAAATAAACAAAAGCGTCCCAGGAGCCGTACACTGACAGCTGTGCACGATGCAATCCTTTAGGACCTGGTCTTCCCAAGTGAAATTGTGGGCAAGAGAATCCGCGTGAAACTGGACGGCAGCCGGCTCATAAAGGTTCATCTGGACAAAGCACAGCAGAGCAATGTGGAACACAAGTTTGAAACTTTTTCTGGTGTCTATAAGAAGCTCAAGGGCAGGGATGTTATTTTTGAGTTCCCAGAGTTTCAATTGTAAACAGAATGACTAAATAAAAAATACATTCACGGTTAAAGAAAAAAAAAAAAAGCGTTTCCTTTTGATAAAGGAAAATTTATCTATTTTTTCTTTTGTTGCTATAATTTTGGTATCATATTAAGAAACCATCACCTGACCCAAAGTCACAAAGTTATACACATAGGCTTTCTTCTAAGAGTTTTTTTTTTTTTTTTTTTTTTGAGGCGGAGTTTCGCTCTTGTTACCCAGGTTGGAGTGCAATGGCGCAATCTCGGCTCACCGCAACCTCTGCCTCCTGGGTTCAGGCAATTCTCCTGCCTCAGCCTCCTGAGTAGCTGGGATTACAGGCACGCGCCACCATGCCCAGCTAATGTTTTGTATTTTTAGTAGAGACGGGGTTTCACTATGTTGACCGGGATGGTGTCGATCTCTTGACCTAGAGATCCACCCGCCTCGGCCTCCCAAAGTGCTGGGATTACAGGCTTGAGCCACCGCGCCCGGCCGTTCTTCTAAGAGTTTTATAGTTTAACTCTTCCTTTTAGGTCAATGATCCGCTTTGAGTTAATTTTTGTGTATTGTGTGATATAGGGGTCCAGCTTTGATCTTTTGCATCTGAGTTGTCCCAACACCATTCATTGTAAAGACTATTTTTTCCTGTTGAATTTTCTTGGCACTCTTGTTAAAAATCAATTGACCACAATATAAGAGTTATTCATTCCTTCCTGTACTTCTGAATTCACATCTTATATAGTTTCCTGCATCCTTAGGAGTTTCCCTTAACATTTCTTGTTGTGGCAGCATTACTTATAATAGTAATAGAAATTTAAAAGTTCCCCAGTGTTCATAGATGAAAGGTGGATCGATAAAATGAGTTTTTTTCTTACAATAGAATATCATCTAACAATGAAAGCGAATCTATTATAACTACATACAAAAGCACAGACACCACTTAGAAACAGAATATTAACAACCCTGGCTTTTGTTCTCTGTGAGATGAGAATTCACCTTAATGTTTTGTAGCAGAGGAGAATATTATCTAACTTACATTCTTACAGGATTAATTTGGCTACTGTGTGGAACATAGGCTGCCAGGGGAGAAAGGGGGGACAAAAACAGATGTTGGCAGATCCACTGTGAGGCCATTGCTATAATTCAGGCAAGAGATGATGGCATCTTTTTTTTGAGACGGAGTTTCCCTCTTGTTACTCAGGCTGGAGTGCAATGGCGCGATCTCGGCTCACCGCAACCTCCGCCTCCTGGGTTCAGGCAATTCTCCTGCCTCAGCCTCCTGAGTAGCTGGGATTACAGGCACGCGCCACCATGCCCAGCTAATTTTTTGTACTTTTAGTAGAGATGAGGTTTCACCATGTTGACCAGGACAGTCTCGATCTCCTGACCTCGTGATCCACCCGCCTCGGCCTCCCAAAGTGTTGGGATTACAGGCTTGAGCCATGGCACCCGGCCGAGATGATGGCATCTTAGATCAAGGTGGTGGTCGTGGGAATGGTAAATGGCAGAACTCCGGCTATATTTTGAAGGCACAACCAACAAAATTTTAGGGTGTCAGGAGGAAAGAAATCAAGTAGGTATTATAGGTATTAGAATGAAAGGAAAGGCTGGGGTCAGTGGCTCATGCCTGTAATCCCAGCACTTTGGGAGGCCGAGGCGGGCAGATCATGAGGTTAAGAGATCGAGCCCATCCTGGCCAACATGGTGAAACCTTGTCTCTACTAAAAATACAAAAATTAGCTGGGCGTGATGGCACATGCCTGTAGTCCCAGCTACTCAGGAGGCTGAGGCAGGAGAATTGCTTGAACCCGGGAGGCCGAGATTGCAGTGAGCCGAGGTCGCACCACTGCACTCGAGCCTGGCCACAGAGCAAGACTCCGCCTCAAAAAAAAAAAAAAAAAAAATAGAATGAAAGGAAAATAGGCTGGGCAAGGTGGCTCACGCCTGTAATCCCAGCACTTTGGGAGGCCAAGGTGGGCAAATCACGAGGTCAGGAGTTCAAATCCAGACTGGCCAACATGGCGAAACCCCGTCTCTACTAAAAATACAAAATATTAGCTGGGTGTGGTGGTGGGCGCCGATAATCCCAGCTACTTGGGAGGCTGAGGCAGGAGAATCACTTGAACCCAGGAGACACAGGTTGCAGTGAGCTGAGATTGCACCACTGCACTCCAGCAGGAGAGACAGTGTAAGACTCTGTCTCAAAAAAAAAAAAAAAGAAAGAAAGAAAGAAAGGAAGATAAATCAACTTTATTTTTTAAAATAATAGTTTAGTTGGTATAATGATATTACAAAAACTAAAGAATGATAAGTGAAATGAGTCAGTGACCCCAATGTTTCTAGTCTAAACAAATGAAAGAATACTCTTATATTGTCTGCACTTTTATATATATATATATATATATATATATTTTTTTTTTTTTTTTTTTTTTTTTGAGACGGAGTTTCACTCTTGTTAACCAGGCTGGAGTGCAATGGCGCGATCTCGGCTCACCGCAACCTCCGCCTCCTGGGTTCAAGCAATTCTCCTGCCTCAGCCTCCTGAGTTGCTGGGATTACAGGCATGGGCCACCATGCCCAGCTAATTTTTTTTTTTTTTTGTATCTTTAGTAGAGACAGGGTTTCACCATGTTGACCAGGATGGTCTTGATCTCTTGACCTCGTGATCCACCCGCCTCAGCCTCCCAAAGTGCTGGGATTACAGGCTTGAGCCACCGCGCCTGGCTACTTTTCTATATTTTTGAAGTATTTTATAATACATAAATGCCGAGAAAACATTTTATTTATTTTTTTTTTTTTGAGACGGAGTTTCGCTCTTGTTACCCAAGCTGGAGTGCAATGGCACGATCTCGGCTCACCGCAACCTCCGCCTCCTGGGTTCAAGCAATTCTCCTGCCTCAGCCTCCTGAGTAGCTGGGATTACAGGCACGCGCCGCCATGCCCAGCTAATTTTTTGCATTTTTAGTAGAGACGGGGTTTCACCATGTTGACCAGGATGGTCTCAATTTCTTGACCCTGTGATCCACCTGCCTTGGCCTCCCAAAGTGCTGGGATTACAGCCGTGAGCCACTGCGCCCGGCCCAAAAACATAACTTTTAAAAATAAGTTTAGGTGTGATGGCTCATGGCTGTAATCCCAGCACTTTGGAAAGCCAAGACAGGCAGATTATATGAGCCCAAGAGTTCGAGATCAGCCTGGGCAACATGATGAAACCCCATCTCTACAAAAAATACCAAAAAATTAGCCGGGCATAGTGGCACACACCTGTAGTTGCAGCTACTTGGGAGGCTGAGGTGGGATGATCATCAAGTCCAGGCTGCATTGCACTGCACTCCAGCCTGAGTGACAGAGTGCAACCCTGTCCAAAACAAAAAACAATAAACAAACAAACAAACAAAACAAAGAAAAAGGAACCATAAACCTGAATCAAAATATTAATTGAGGCTGGGCATGGTGGCTCACACCTATAATCCCAGCAATTTGGGAGGCGGAGGTGGGAGGATCACCTGAGGTAGGAAGTTCAAGACCAGCCTGACCAACATGGAGAAACCCTGTCTCTACTACAAATACGATATTAGCCGGGTGTAGTAGTGCATGCCTATAATGCCAGATACTTGGGAGGCTGAGGCAGGAGAATAGCTTGAACCCGGAAGGCAGAGGTTGTGGTGAGCCAAGATGGTGCCATTGCACTCCAGCCTGGGCAACAAGAGCAAAACTCCATCTCAAAAATAAATAAAGAAATAAATAAAATAAAAGATAAGATAAAATATTAATTGAAATGTTTGGATACTTTTAAAAAATAGAATAATATTTAAGAAATGATGTACTAGGCTGGGTGCGGTGGCTCACACCTGTAATTCCAGGACTTTGGGAGGCTGAGGTGGGCGGATCACGAAGTCAGGAGTTCAGGACCAGACCAGCCAACATGGTGAAACCCCATCTCTCCTAAAAAATACAAAAATTAGCTGGGTATGGTGGCTTGTACCTGTAATCCCAGCTACTTGGGAGGCTGAGGTAGGAGAATTGCTTGAACTGGGACCAGGGAGGCAGAGGTTGCAGTGAGCTGAGATCACACCGCTGCACTCCAGGCTGGGCTGCAGAGCGAGACTCCATCTCAAAAAAAAAAAAAAGAAATGATGTACTAGAAAACACTGATGGGGGGCCGGGCGCGGTGGCTCAAGCCTGTAATCCCAGCACTTTGGGAGGCCGAGGCGGGTGGATCACGAGGTCGAGAGATCGAGACCAACCTGGTCAACATGGTGAAACCCCGTCTCTACTAAAAATACAAAAAATTAGCTGGGCATGGTGGTGCGTGCCTATAATCCCAGCTACTCAGGAGGCTGAGGCAGGAGAATTGCCTGAACCCAGGAGGTGGAGGTTGCGGTGAGCCGAGATCGCGCCATTGCACTCCAGCCTGGGTAACAAGAGCGAAACTCCGTCTCAAAAAAAAAAAAAGAAAAAAAGAAAAGAAAAAAAAAAAAAAAAAAGAAAAGAAAACACTGATGGGAGTATCTCAAAGATCAACATGTACTTTTAAGGCTGGAAATACACACACACACACACACACACACACAAATATCTACATTAAGATATGTACATATGGGTGTGGTGGCTCATGCCTGTAATCTCAGCACTTTGGGAGGCCAAAGAGGGTGGATCACTTGAGGTCAGGAGTTTGAGACCAGCCTGGTCAACATGGTGAAACCACATCTCTACTAAAAATACAAAAATTAGGTGGGTGTGGA